ATTCTTCAAGAAAAGTTCTGGAATGCTTCAGTGAATACGAAGCTCTACGTCTATTAATATAAATATATCATGTATTATATTCATTTCAATGAGCGTGTCAATTTGTGTTATGCGATTGCAATGATTCATACTTCCGCTCCATCTACTGAAGAAATACCGCAACAGTTATCAAACTTTTTTTTAAGTTGAAAACTAATTTGGTCCTCCGATTACTACTTATTTTTCTTATACTCATTGCGAATTCTACAGCAATTGTAAAACGAACCGTGGGAGAATTCAGTGAAGCGAAAAACTCGAAAATTTAAGCAGCAATGGCTGGCTGATCAGAAGAAGGAATAGAAATGTAGGAGTGCATTTTTAAACATGTTATGAATAATGCGATAAGAGTGGTTTACATCAATGAATTTTTCCGCGAAAAAATTATTTCTGTTATGCGACTTCTATAAAGGTTTTTAGAATCATTTCATGATTTCATTAGTAGCATAATAATAGCGATTATCGTTATCACCAACATCATCAAAAACTCATCAAAGAAAAAAACCTAATGGGAATTTAGCTTCCATCCCTTTTCACCTAACATTGGTTATACCAAATTTTTAACCCTCACATTTGCTCAACCATGTCCTTTTCCTGATCCAATTTTGCAATTGCTATGTTTTCATTATATCCCTGAATTTTTTGCAATTTCTTCTCCAACCATTTAGGCTCATTAAATATTTAAAATTTCTTTTTTATTTTTGCCACTTTCACCTGTTTTTAAAGAACATATTGTGATGGATAGAGTGAAAAATGATGTACGAATGAATATTTCAGTGAGAAGATAATGCACAAGCTGATTCCTATCAATATTGAAAAATATCACCAACATCATCACTAACACTGCAATTCGCATATTAATTTATGAATTTCATGGTCAAATGCTCTCATTATTTTTTTCTTGACGTTTATATTGGTACCGTATCATTTTCGATCATAACAAAGAATTCGTAAATTAATGTTGAACTAGTTTCACTTGTATAACTATTACAAAGCAACCCGCTGTGTGATATTTTATTCCTATGTTTGGAAATAAATAACATGAACACACGTATGTATTTGCACATGTGAGTTATAGGTAAGACTAATGAAAGGTTTACTATCAAATAATCAGTCATTCCGGCTATTTAATTTAACAAAACTTTGAAAAGTTATGAACACAGCATTCGGATTGACAAGTTTGTCGCCAAACTAAAATCAAATAAAGGATGAAATATAAGTGGAATGACCAACTTACGATTATGAGATTAATTTCACTAAGCAGTCACTGCCAAAGAATATTCTATAATTGTTGTCCAAAGATATTATGATGGATATGCGGAGATGAATTTGAAGCAGACGTTAATATCATTTTAACCGAGAATCTGCCTGAGAACGATTAGAAGGAAGTGGGAGAAAAGATGCTGTCAAAACAAAAGTAAGAAATGTATCAATCTAGGGTATTAACAATATTAACGAATTCTTCTACTGGGAGGTGTGAACAAGAAGTGACACTTCCTCCTTTTAGTAATCACTGGCAACTCTGAAGACAAACAAACATTGCCTCTTCAGCATCATCTTTCTCCGGAAAATATTTCAATCTGTTCATATATTAAAGATCGGTTCTAACTTTTAGTTTCACTACAAACTTAAGTTTCATTTGAACACTTTAAATTTTAATTGACATAAGACAAGGACAAAAATGATAAAACAGAACGTTCGATCTCAGCCCCATTTAATAAATGAATTGGTGAATACTGAAGAAAAATCCACTGAAAATCTCTGAAGTTAGATGTGAGCCCCTCGGCTCACATCTAACTTCAGTAATAATGAGACAATTAACTGATTTTTTATCCTAATATACTATTTCCTGTTTAAAACTGACAAAGAATAATTCGATTTTCTCGGGACTTTATGCACTTCGCTCTTGTAAAACTTTCCAAATCACAGAAAGAAAATATTTGTTTGTTGCACACCACTGCTTCCGATAAATGGTAATGAGCAATCCCATAAATGAAATTGAAAGAAAAATTTTGGACTTCGACTAGATATACTAACTCGAATAACTACTTCCTTAGCATAGCTTTCCTCTTCGAAAACTTCTAGCGCTGAATAATGAAACAGAAGTTAAAATAGTGATATGTAATTATTAAAATAGTGATATGTAATTACGATCAACCCTATGAAAAACAATGAGGAAATCTGAAGAATGGGATATATGAATGGCTTATAGTTGTTGATAACCAGCAAGACAAATGCATATTCATTAGCCTTTCAACAACTACCAAATACAGGATTAATCAACAACATACCAAATACAGGATTAATCAACAACCACAATCACTGACAGGCGATTTCATGAAGCAAAAAACAACTGCTGAAAAGTATCACAACCATTCCACTATAGTAAGTACAAAAGAGGATTTCTTTTAATAAAAGAGATAAAACACATTCAGTATCAGTAATCCTAACAATCTGAAAAGTCTATTCATGCAATATCTGCCCATTCAATTACTTAATCCTGACATTAAAATTTGCAAGGGGTGCTTCCCAGACAATAAAAAATCTTCGGAAATGAATTAAAAGCTTGCAATCAAAGTAATCAAATACTACACTTTAGTTTCTATAGATTTTAGATAAGCTAAGTCAGTGATACTAAACTTCGTTTAGATATTCTAATTGTACAGATAACACGCGCTGAAACTAATTCTCTCTTTCCACTGGCAACTTCATCAGCGACTAATTCAATTAGGAAAACTTCTTTCAGTAATCAGAAGTCATTAAAACATTATACGTACTGGTAAGGAATAGAAATTTGAAAAGCAAAGCATGACCACGAAAAACTTATAAATGTTACAGAATCATCCTAGCAATGACAAAGAATAAAAAAGGAAATTTCCGTCATGACAATGTCTTAAAAAGTAGAATCCTGAGCAATTTATAAACTCATTAAAAAACTCACGAACACGATAAATCTCCGACGGTTGCGCAGCAATTGAAAATGGCTTAGTCAGTGCAACATATATAATCTACCAGAATACGAACAGATCATTAATGATGAAGACTTATTGAATTTAATGAAACGAAATAAAACCATTCATCTCGGTTAGTTGATTAAATCTAAAACAAATATTCACATCCAGTCATCTAAAATATGGGCATTGAAAAGTAATGGTAAACATTTCTATAACTGGATAAGCTGTTTTGCTTATGTTGCAAATCCATAAATAGCGGAACTGAATATGCATTAAAGCAACAAACATGTCAGTTAAACAAGTACCGTAATAAATAAGGTAACATAAGAATTGTTAAAATAGAAAAAATGTGAAGTTAATGATTGAAATATATATCGAAATATGTAAGTAAGATTTACTTGACTTATGCTGATTAACTTTTAAAATATCACTCTAATTGCAAAATGCAATACCAAAGGCGAAAATCAACTGAAAATCTTCCATTACAAAGAAACATATATCACAATATAATAAAATATGAAACAAATCTCATTTCAAACTCATTTCAAATACATCATTTCAAACTAAAGTATTCACCATCAGAAGGCAGTCATAATAAAAAAGCAGATCACGCTGAACGTACTTTTTCATCAGAAATTAAATAGAATCGCAAAGACTTTTGGTATCATATTTTATAAGCAAATCAAGGTGGTAACATGCCACATATATTTATTTGCAAAAGAAAAAACTATTTGACGAGATTGTAAACAAGAATTGGAACACCATCCACACGACAATGCACTATATTTGGATGAAAACAGCATAGTACAGAAGCATAAAGAAAATCCGTATAAGAAACAAAAGTATATTCCTATCGCTATACACTCTTTACACGGCAAACTATAGTGCTCATTGTCCATTGTCCATAGCCATATTCAACAAAACCTGAAAATCTTGAAAGCTCTCGATATTATACAACATTAAAAGTTCAAAGTTTAGCAAGAAGGAAACAAAAATTTGAGAAAAAAAAACATTCTGTTTTAAAGAATAAAACTAATCTATCTCATACACTTTTGTCATGAATATAACTATAAAGAAAAAGAAGACTAGATGTTACTCGAACAATTTGATTATCTTAGCATACAGATATTTTGGCATTAAGACTGTTTTTTGGATGAAGTAATTGCTTTGGATAATTAAATTTGCTGTTGAATTATTAGATGGGATTTTCACATGCAAACTTACAACAATTTCAATTGCTTCAATGCTGAACGCTACAGATATATGTGGCGCTGTATGGAGGAAAAAAGTGAACAAATGCACAAATTATAGTCAACCCCACTTCTAATGATTTACTATTAAACACCATTTCAAAAGGCTAAAAAACTAACGTTTTTCTCAACTGCACGGAAAACCTTTTTAAAAGACTTATAAATCAAAAATATGAATTTGATTTCAAAGCAATTAATTAAAAAATTACCTGCAAGATGATACCATGAAATGTAATAAATAAAACCAGTATTCAACACTGATACAGAAGCATGAAAAGCACAACACATATTTATTGTGAAGATACATAAAAATCCGCCACAATAACTGAAATTGTAAAACGTGACACTCAAGTATTTTGAATTCTAATGAATATTACAATTTTTCATTTCATAGCAAAAATTTAATTTCATTTAATAGAAATCAACCTAGATTAAAGAGCCATTAGGTGTGATATTCTCTTTATCAGGTCGGCCCAATCTCAAACTCCGATGCTGAGTGACAAATGACCAGCAATATGACAAAAGCGAAGATAAAATTGAAGCCATTTGTATCGACATTAAAAAAATCTATAGCACCGATAAAGTAATAAAACTGGAATGTGAATCACAGAAGAAAACTTGAAGTAAAAACTGAGTAAAAAACTTGAAGTATAAAAAGCCAATGACTAAAAAAAACTAGAACTAGTCCCAACGAACTGCATCATTAAGTATCATTCATGACTCTTTAACTTCCGATCTAAACATACTCCATTAAGGAAAATTATTCGATGGATTCAGTGGATAAATGCATGAGTTGATGCAATACCTTGTACAAGCACCTGAGGTATTGATTCCAAAATGCTTCCAAAAATCTAAAATTAACTGAACGGTATACAGCTGTGATCAATTGACATCATTCAAAGTAGTGGTAATTTTAAAGGTAAATCTTGGGTGCTTTAAATTTCCTCCTCCACAACCTCTTAATGAGCTCAAGACAAGATAAACATCAAAAAAAAAAAAGAAACATAACCTCAATAATGTCGCATCCCTTTCTGCCTCAATCGCAGCCGTATATTGCAACAACTTTTCACTTCTCTTTCAATCATTCGAAATTTTATTGTGCTAAAACTGCCTCCACATACTAGATTACTGGACTGACCTAAAGAGGTGAAATGCGTAATGCATAATGAGTGCATTAAATAAATCAATTACCTGCAAAAGACACATAACAATACGAAAAATTAACTGCTTTGAGTATGTACGTTTCATCCTTCCTCGCGTAGAATGTGCAGAAACATTGTCTTCGTCATCAACCGCTCATAACAAAAGCAAGTGCCATCTGGAAATGGAGATTAGAAACAAAAAATAGCAATCAGTCCTACTAATTTAGAGAACTAGCGATGAACAATAAGTCTTTTAGAATTCATGACTTACATGGCTACCTAGTCTTTTGATGGAAGAATCGATGAAATTCACAAAACGCCACTTTTTGAAAATATTTTTCGCTAAAACATATTAGCGACACAAGATAAACATGCAAATCCAGTTTCGAATTCAGAGAGGTAAAGGTTCCGCAAACTTTCAAGCGGGATATAACAGGTTTTGAGTTCTTTTCCTCTTTTACATCGTTTAAAACGACGCCATCACAATTTTCAAAGATTCTATTTACATACTTACTTCAGCCATAAAGTAAAATAAACGTCTCTTCCAGAACTGAACCATCAGAATATACCAATTTTAGATTAATGTTCTCAAACAGAATAAATCGTCAAGACCCTCCACTCAACTCTTCATCCTTGAAGTTATTAAACAACGGTTTAAAAAATAACATGCAAAATCATACATGGCAATTCGGGCTCGAACCTACCAGAAGCCACTTACCTTTGCTTAGTGGTATTGGTTGGTTATAATTCACTTCTGGGTGAATCGCCGTCAGGGCGTTGTTAGCTACGGCGTATGAGGACTACATTATTGTTATTTATTATTATTATTTATTATTATTATTTATTATTACTATTTATTTATTATTATTATTGCTATTATTAAATTACTATTATTATTTTCTTATTATTTACAAAATATGGTAAATTAAACTATAGATCTCTGTAGTCTCATTCTGCTTTGCAATAGGGGTATCTGTTAGTGGATTATATTTTTGTTTACATCAGTCCCGCACATCCCAGGAATTTCAGTTTGCCCTATTTTCCTCATTTTCATTATTGCAGGAAGTGATTGCGGTATCGCAGTTTATTTGAGCGAAAAGAATCATTGAACTTCGAGAAATCATAGTTCAGGTTTGGTTTTTATGGTTCTTTTCGAAATAAATTTTCTGCTATCTATAAACAGTAGACACCTTTAGAAGTGCATTAACATTTTTCTTTAAAATTGTACAGCAAATAGGACCATTTTGTACGTTGTCGTTTCAATCACTTCTCCTCATAATTTCATTCATTTTTGGGTGGAACAGATCTGAAAGAAATAACTTCGTAGTGCGAGCAAGCAAAGTTCTCCAGTTATTTGCAAATGAAATTTCTTTTAAAAAAGTCGAATAATGTTTGGACATCGTCTTTTTTATTGAGGAGAAGTCAACTAGTTCGTACCATAAATATGAAGCAAATATTTTCATTTTCAGTTGTCTTCAACCTTACTTTCAATGAAGTCATTTAATGTGGAGATCTTTCTAAAATAACGAGGAAAGGAGGAATCAGAATAATTCATAATACTATAATGAAAAGTTTGATGTCTTTATTTCCCTATTTAATATACAATGTGTTACTGAAAAAGTTACAAGCTAACTTGCTTCTCTGAAAGATTATCGATGCTACATAATACCAATCATTTTGGAAGGGAAGTTATGAAACGAAAGAAATCGCATTTGCCTTCAAAAAAGTAATAGCAGAAATCAGTAAATCAAATCAGATCAATTGACTTGTTGTATGATACACATCAAATCATATAAGATTCAATATATGTACTATTATGAAACTTTCATATATGAAATAAGTTAAAAGTACATAAATGCTTGTAGTGATATGAAGCATGATAATTTGCAGTCCTATCATTACCGTATGGGAAATGCACTGTAAATTCCTTGCGTTTTAAACTTTTTTAAGCTTTCTTATAATGGAAACTGAATACTTTTTGATTAATTTCTTATCATTTCGAAATGATTCCAAGAAAAGAAAGTCAGGAAACATTCCGATATTTATTGAAACTTATTTCTTCGCGACAAGTTAACATATTTGGATTCATGAATCCTATTGCAAAGTAGAGTGATTATGTTTTGATTCAGAAGTTGATTCAAGTATATTCTTTTAAGAGAAGTTGTAGGAAAAATTTCTGTCATTTTTGTAGAAGTTCATTAAACTCATTATATGATTTTAAATTTGATAATACACATGCCATAGAATCCTATTTGTCATTAGATGTGAAACAATGATAAAAATTATTCGATTGATCATTTCCTTTCAGCAAATACTGTTGAAATGGAAAAACTAGAGGAATTTTTAAACAAAGAAATAGAATTTTCATGACATTTTGCATTGGATGTTGAACAAGAGTTTCTAAGTTAATTTTCATTTAAAATTTTGGAAACCTTTTTCTTCGATGACAGCGACGATTCAATACTAGTTTTTTGAGAAGAAATAGGAAAATAAATCTTACAAAAGGACATGCCATATACACATACACACACACACACACACACACACACACACACACACACACGCACACAGACTCATAGACATAAAATCTCTAAACAGACAAAACATCAAAGGAACCATTTTGAAGCGGAATGAAAGAAGGAAGTTAAAATTTACATTCTCTAAAAAAAACTGTCTCAATTGTATCACTCACTTAATAAACTTTCCAAAGCAGGTTGTTTATTTCATTTCTCTGTTACTTGGTGCTCGTCACAAAAACATGCCTTCTATCAATTTTCATATTTTCATCATACTGATGACTTTCATTGCAAAGGTAAGAAATTTATTTTATGAAGAATTTTATAACAGAAGTAGAATAAAGCAACTTTCAGCGCCTGCCGTTTATTTTCAGGATTTTATTGCTGTATCGGTCCCCGAAAGAAGTAATGAAACAGTGACTGATTCGAAAGAGTACAAAAAGAAGGTAATTATAGAAAACAGTTTACTGGATTATGTATTAATTACTTTCCTGACTTCAGAATTACATTGCATTTTCAATGAAAATCTGATCTCATCCTTCTCTTCACATTTAAAATACAAAGCAGAAATTACCATATTAAACGAATGAAAAATGCATTTTGTTGGGCAATTGGTATTCTTTTGTTTCAACTCATTTATGCTTATTCTGTTACTACATTTCAAATATCGTTAAAACTCAGAATTTATCCCAACATAAGTTTGAAAAGATTCATTAGAAATTTTTCAAGAAGAATTTTTTAGCTAGTGAAAAGGAAAATTTAATTTTTTTTTTTGTTTAGCAAAATTTTACAAATATTGCAAGGCTTCAAACATCATTGGTATACTGTTTTATAAAAAACATCCATTAAAATAATAAGGCAGTGAATTGTTGCCTTAAAAGTATGCTTTTGTTCCTTTATCAGTTCATTAAACTCCCACCTCATATATATGGAAAATGGCTAATATACTATTTAAATATAATGTTTTGATTTTCTAGAAAAACTGTTCATTCTGTCTATTCGCTTTGAACTTTTCATTGCTGAATGAATCCACTATAAGCTTGATTTGGCGAGTTTTAATTATTGGAGACGTCAATCGATGAAAAAAATTTTAATAAATGATGCTTTTTATAAATAAATTAAAGTTTTAAAATTATCACAGAGTTTTCTTCATTATAGATAGTTGCATTTACAGATGATATATAAAGAATTGTTGGTCAAAATCCATATTTTAAAATAAGGTAAAAGAAGCATTTCGATAAAAAAATCCACAATATGTTCAAAAATGCTTCACAATTGCTTATTCAAAAGTAACGCAATGTATTTCTACTTAAAAACAGTATTTTGATACTCTTCTTTATTATTCCTAATCGTATTTTTGGAAAATATCGTTTAAATCGATTAACTGAAAATCCAATGTTAAAACAGTGAAACTATGTAATAGTGATGTTATTTTGCAAAGAGTTCTAAACAACTGTGAAAGAAAGTTTGATATATTACAAAATCGTTTTATTTTCTTCAAAAAAAATAAGTACAAAAAATCTCTGTGGCTTTTATTACTGGGAATTATTTACTTCATTCCTTATAGAAATGACAGTGTATTTCCAGAAAATTATTTTATTGACAGAAAATGAGAACCATTTTGATTTGTTCAGAACCAATCAAGCTGGATAATTCCACCGTAGTAAAGAAAGTAGAAAGAAAGATGAGAGCGGATACACTTATCATTTTCTTGTGGTTGTTCTACTCCTATTGATATCTTTTAATAACATTTTCAAGAAGAATATGATTTTGAAGTGGCTGAAAGATTCAACATTATAAATTAACACTAATAAGACAGTTCGAAAAATAATGGGTTAGTTTATCGATATGAGTAAAATCAAGAAAGCACAAATGTCAGAAGTCAAGTCAAGGTAAATTACTGCATTTGTTATTATATACATCATTAATGTTCGTAAAAGTCGAGATGAACAAATGAGTAAAAAATTCTAAAAAACTGTATTTTAATCACTTCTGAAATTTTCACAAGATTGAGAGAATTTTGAAAATACATTCCCGGAAGTTACAAAAGGTAAAAAGTTTTTTTCAACTTTTCAGGTGTAAACAAAACGCTTGCTACAGCTATCATTTCTTCATTTCTTTTTTCTTTTTTTGTTTAATTTGCAACGAAAAATATTATTCAGTAATAAGATTTCTGGTATGACTACAGAAACGTATTTTATTTTAAAATAGTATTATTGATAGTTGATAAAGAAAATAGCTATCGCTAAAAGTAAGAAAGTGATTTTATTCATTACTTGCAAAATTAGCTTTTGATGTTACCAGTCACTCATTTTTTCAGAAATTTGTCTACCTGATTGAATATTTAAATTCGCTAAGTGAGAACAAATTTTTTCTAAATTGTTGATGACAACACCACTACAAAAGTCTATTTAGCGAACTTTTCTCCTCCATTTTTCGCTGCTGATATTTAACAATATATCAAGCATTTTTGCTTTTCTTACTTGGCATTTCGCATTACATCACATTTCTGAAGTTTGGGTAAAGAATTTAATTTTGTTCTTACATTCAAATTTAGTTATGCAATATCTTTTGCAACAATATTGTTAACTTATCGGCTATCTTTTTTAACATAACGATATAATTTAAATCCGCTAGGCCTCAATCTGTACTCTGATATGTTGTTTTCAATGTCTGTTAAATATTTTTCAATGCTACATTCATGCCAGCATAGAGAATGGAGCACAACGTTTAAAGGAATAGTCAATATTTGAAAGTGTTTATGTTTCATTTAACACTTATTAAGAATCATGAATTTAATTTAAAGCTAAATCTCATTTCATATTTTAATGCAATGGATATTTTGGCTATTCATTTCAAAAGATAATTTTTTGCACCGATGAGTAGAAAAGATTTGCCTTTCTCAAATTCTGCTGGTATGTTGCATGATGCCTAGAAGAGATACATGCAATACCAAAATTATAACAAGCCAAATCATGACATTTTCATTATGATAGGCATGACACAAACTTTCTTAATATAAGATACGATATGCTAATTATTGCAGTTGTCCAAAGCAGAACCATTCAAACTGATTTATTTTAATGGCCGAGGCCGCGCTGAAGTAATACGATTGTTATTCGCCCAAGCAGATGTAAGCTACGAAGACATCCGCATCAATAGAACAGAATGGCCAGCTTTGAAATCCAGTTAGTCCTCTACCATTGCTCGGTTTTGAAAATCGATATCAAAATGCTATCACCAAACACCATGGTATACTAACAATTTTGCAGTTTTAAATCAAATTGGGAAACATTAAATTTTCAGAAACGCCATATGGACATATTCCAATACTGTATGTAAATGACAAAGTACTAGCGGAGAGTCACGCTATCGAAAGATATTTGGCTCGGAAATTTGGTAATGAATCAAAATTTTTTGGAGAAGAAAATTAAAATTCAAAATTCAATGAAATATAATGAAATTGAAGGATTGTTGGGAACAAATGAATGGGAGGCAGCAAAAATTGATGAAATTATTTGTAACTTAGAAGATGTCTGGCAAAAAATGCAGTCATGGCTACATGAAGGAAACGCTACCGAAAAAGTAAATTTGTAGTGTCGCTAATTGCTTGTCGGATCGAATTTCGTTTTTTCCCTTCCATTGTCGAGGTTTCACTCATTATTCATATACACTCAAGAAGTAAACTTTATAGCAATTTAAAGCTTGAAATGCAAAATTTGAATTGATAATGAATGTGTCAGCAGGATATTGCATAATGAAATTCCATTCATAAATTATTCGACAGTGCGATGCATCAAATCAGAAATGAGGCATTTTATCATAAAACCATAATTTGAAAAATTTAGGATGAAATGTTCAAAAAGCTTGTTAAAGAAACTATTGCTCCATTCATGCAACGATATGAACAATTTCTACTAAATAGTCGCAGTCCATATTTCGTTGGTAATAAGGTGAAAGTTTTTCTTACATAAAAAATTTCTACCCATATATCACGACAATTTTTACACTTATTATCAATTTAAAGTTTAGAAAAATATAAACCTTAAAGTTTTCTAAAGGTTCAAATTTTAGATTTCTCTGGCAGACATAGCAGTTTTTAACATGCTCAACTACTTCCAAGAATTGAGGACTCACTACCCGAAACTAGCTGAATTTGCTGACAAAATTGGGCAGATGCCGAGGATCAAGGCATGGATCGACAAGAGACCAAATACAAATTTCTAGATTGTTCAATCTATACTGCTGTCTCTGATCTTCTCGTTTAAGATTTTTCCTAAGAGTTTAACAAAGCAACTTTTTGGATGAGCTCTTCTTCAATGAGAATTAATTCTTCTTATTTATAAAAAATGACAAAATTATGAATTAAAATTTCAAATTTAGAGAAGATCGTGCTGCAACGCACAGCTTACATTTAAGCTATACATTTCATTTTTTTAAGGAGCCTTCTTTTAATTGGTATTATTTTATCTGTTGCCTGCAACTAAAGTATATCGGATATTAATAAGATGTTTACTTTTCAATCGCACTAGCATAGTTTAAAAAATTTGAAATCATTTCTGTCTTTATTCATTCAATCTTTTACGACTTTGATAAAGTTAAACTTGTGTTTACCATCTAAATAGATGTTATTATCACACCTTCGAATTAATCTTTTCAATCCATCACAAAGGACCGGTGAAGTTTGATGGGCATTTATTCATTTCACTATGGGATAACGATTTTTTCTAAAATTAAAGAAATTAAAGCATACCACGCACTCTGTTCAGAACTTGGAGCATAAAAAGAATCTAATCATTATCACCAATATGCATCCAAGGAAAGATGATAAGCTTTTTTCTTGTTAACAAGGATGAGCCAATAGTATAATGAGTGCAGCAATCAATTATTACCGTCATGCTAATTATATATTCCTTGATTCAAGTTTACTTTTGTTTTAAAAAAAAAAACTATGATGGCAAAAAAAGAAATAATATAATTTCACCAAACAAATTTTAATCTAAAAAATGCCCAAATCTGGCATATAGTTTGGACTGTGAGTAGTTATGATCACAAATAAGAAAGTTAACCCTCATTTCAAGTAAAATATAAACGAGCACATCAAGATTAACATAAACTGTTTTGCTCTACAACCTTATCATTCGCACATTGTTTTATTCTTTAAAAATCATTTCTTCTCAGATTTTATTAGCTTTTGTTAGTTATTTAAATTGGAAATTTCATTATTTAAATGAAATAATTCAGTTTATCTCAATTTCTTAACCATTATAATGTAAAAATTAAAACGCGGAAGTTATAAACAACACAAAGCAGCTCTTCTAGAATTTCGATGCATTATTCTTTAGTAATTAACTTGATAGATTTCTGCAGATTTTGCTTGATCAGTACTATTTTTTAGATTATTCAAAAGGAAGCCGAAAAAGGAAGATGTTATGAACGAGAAGGATTTTTAATCATGCCTCTTATCTAAACTTAAAATTTTATTGGGGAAAGTTTTGTATAATATAAAAGGTGAGAAAAAAATGAGTCAAATTAGAAAATAAAGTCTCGCACCAAAAATGAAAGAAGTTCAGCGCTGTGATGCCAAACGCTTATCGTGAAAAATATTTAGCACATTCAGTGAAGATACTCATAGAACGTTATCATGTATACAGTTATCTCTGACACCTAGTATTCAGAACTAGTTTTGAATTTAAAACGAGCTACCGGCAGGAATTGTTAGCTGAATTCACTAATCTAACTGAATGATTTAACAACGGAGGCACGATCAAAAAAGTCGGTACCACCAGTTCTGTATATTTCAGAAATGTTACTGTACTATCCAATCGGAATTTATTTCTGTCCTCTCCTTGTCCGTGTTAAAATATAGGAAAAAACGGAAAACGATATCAGGGCAAGAAAGTGTTTTAACAATAATCCTGCAGTCATTGAGCAAATTTAAAAATTCTGTAAGTGCTGACTTCAAAACTTCAATTGTGTCATCATTTACCTCATCCATGTTTTGCACTTTTCTTCTGTCGCATTGTCATAAGTTTTCAAATCAATTCAACATCTACATTATGCTTTAGTATCATAATTTCAGAATAATTTTAAAAAGACATCTCTGATTTCAAACAAATGCATGGTAAATTGGGTCTCAATAAGTCAATGAAAAGAAAATTGCTTCACAAAACTAATGAAACAAATTAAATGTTTTCATAACTTATCGACATAAGATGTGAAGTATAATGTTATATACTAATCAGAATGAACAATTTCCTATCAATTTTAAACATCGTTTATATTCAACACATTTCAAATTTTATAAGAACTTTATTGTTTTCAAAAGGACGGTTGAGGAGAAAAAACTATATGTTTTTCTATAATTGAATTAATGAAATTTTGTTCCAACAAATAATATTCACATAAATATCGAATGACTGGAAGCACAATTATGAGATTTAATTGCCATTTAAACAATTTTGCAATAAAAAAATTCGACCTTATTTTACAAGAATGTGTCATGTTCAGAGGATGAGATGCTGTGATAAGAGTTTCCAACCGAATTTCTCCTCCGCTCCTCAGGTAAAAGAGCAGTATATTGTGCAGGTGCTTCTTTGCTTAGCATATTTATTGATGTACAATTCCTAGATAGAAAATTCCTTTTAATAATTAAAATTAAACTAAATTCAATGGAAATAATAAATTTAATCAGATCAATTATGGTACTCTCAACTTTTACCTGGCACTTTCATTACATTGGAAAACAAATGTAAGGCGTTCAGATGTGCATATTTTTTCCTTTTCCTCTGGTTCTTTGTGAATTTTTTAGATGATAATGACTTTGAAAATATTCAACATGTGCGTGGGAAAATTTTTCCGAATGTTACAGCTAACACTAAGCTAAGACTTTCGTTAACTGGTAGATGAAATATTTTTGCTAACACGAAACTACTACTATTCAGAATTTTTAGTATCCACATGTTGCATATTTTCAATCCTGCAAATGAACATCCGAAGAGTTTTGCGATCATTCAGGGCATCAACGGTACAAAGATCTCCTGATAATGGCGCTTCTGACACAACCATTTATCCACTGACTCTACGAAGTCTACGATTCAGTTTAATAAATCTACGATTAAACTGCAGAGAGAACAGATCATTCGCCTTTAGATGATTGACACGAGCACTTTTTTACGTTTTCTTTGTTACTTTTTGGACCTTCTATTCTCAATATTTTAACACCAACTATCCTTATTCTGTTCCAAGGAAACCATGAAGCACTAATTTAACTGGTTACTTCTAAAATAAATAAAACAAACTTTTTCGTAAGTACGCCGTATTTTTTGTGCATACTTTTATGCTTTTCAAACAATATAATCCATATTTTCGGCGAAAAAATACATGCTAATGCAACATTCGCAGACATCGATATTGACATACATAATGATGTCGTTTGTATCTGAAAACAACCACAATTCGCTCACATTTTTTTCCCTTTTTATTCTTCCAATTAATTTTTGGTCTTATCTAATTAGAGCATTTTGATCTCCGCTCTTTTAAAATACCCAATAATTTTTGATAAAAACAAAACGCATAAAATATTCCGCAGGAATTTCTGGACTAGTTCATAAGTGTTTGCATAGCAACTTACAACTTTTAAAATTTAGTTAAACAATTTGATTTCAATTAATATCCACTAAGACTGAAAATCACTAGCTGTAGCAAAAAACAGACCTGAAAATCACTACCTGTACCAAAAAAGAAAAACGTCCACGAAAGCCACAAAACACATGTTGTATACATTGTGAAACCAATAAAACGTGTTTCATTGAAATTTTCTGGCACTTTTCGAGTTTTGATCGCATAAACAGTACATAACACAATTAGTATAGCATCATAAGCTAGCGAATAAAGAAAATGATGGTCCGGGATGTTACATTTAAGCACAACTTGATCTCGAGTTGGATAATAATGTTTCGTACCTAAACCATATCACTGAAGACCTTTGTTATCTCATTGGATTCTAAAATGTATTTAACTCAATTCTGATTCAAAGCAGCAACTCCAAAGAAATGAGAAGAATTTACCAGGTGGAACAATGAGAAGCCAAATAAATGATCCAAAAAGCTGAAGACCAGCAAGAAATACTGTTAAAAAGACTTGTGATGCAGGTGAGATGCACATTGGTCGTTGCACTGAATGATGTGAGAAAATTCGAGCTATGCGGTTAGTTTTAACTAGAAGAGCTGCGTATAAACATGAGAAAGAAAATCCAATACCTGAAAGAAAAAAGAAAGATAAAAATATATTCTCGGAATAAGAAAAACTGAGGAAATTAAGTTTTCATGGGACATTGCAAAGCAAAGTTTTGAAAAATTACCAGTTCTTTTAATAGCGCAGTTGAGAACGGTTGGCCTAGAAATGAGTACAAAAGTCATTGCATAACACATAATCATTGCTACCAGTATGATATAACTAAGCTCACGTCCTGATGCTTTTACTACCGGTGTGTCGTGATTCCTGTAATACAGATCACTTTTTAATATCCTGTATCAAAATTTTCAGATGCAAATGCAGCAGCTATACCTCAACTTCGTCCGGCAATTTTGACTTCTTTCTTTTTTTTAGCTGTATCTACTTTGCTTGCCGTGAATTAACCAATCTTTTATTAACACCAATCAAGCACAAATTTAGATTTTCAAGATTTCTATTTACAACCATTCATAAAATCATTCTCTTGTTAAATATTATTGTCGCGAAATTTGAAATAATTTATAATAAATATGCCTAAATAATTAAAATAATTTGTGCCTTAGAAATATCTTTCACTCAAGTAACTCATCGCATAAACGTAACTGATGAATGTTACAATGCCTAATGCAATGAATCATTTAGCTAATTTCTCGTATTTTTTTGATTCGCGTATTTATCTTTAATGATTAAATTACTATAAACCAATTCACATGCAAATGTTTTCGGTCTGATAACTGGTTATGCTTCAATTATTATGCTGTTATCAGATCTTCCTTTACACGGCGCCTTTTGTTACATTTACATACTTATCCTTGTATCCAATAAGATTTTATCAGGATATATGTTGCAAATCAATTACAGTTATATAACAAGAAAAGGAGGAACATCAAGGCATCATCTCTTCGACTTCAATCTTTCTCATTCTATTAAACTCACCAATAAAAATTGTCTCGACGTATCTACATTACTACCAACAACGTCCAAGAAAACCCCTCCCGGATCAACGAATTGAAGAACCCCCAACCGCGATCAATTCTATTATCGATAAATCATCCACAATTCTCTTATAATATTCAAGGACCTCTAAAGAACAAATTAACCTTCAAATATTCGACTGTGCTAAATCAAAACTTTCCCAAACCAAACAAAATTCAATCACTTACTTGCAGCTTATTTGCGCCAATTAATTATTATAATAAATTACCCAAAGTTTAAGGTGTTCCACCGCACGAAAATATGATTATGATTTTTATCAAAGACTGCTGCCTTCTCAACCTCAATGCAAGCTTGGAGAAAAAAGTAAACTTATGATGAAGTAATGATACAATTTCGCCTCTGAATAACTTGCTGATCATAAGATCATAAAAATACCCCATGCAAATTAGTTGACTGAAATTCTGAGATCACTAGCAAATCAGACTACCACGTAATAATCCATTCATTTCTTCTGGCTTAAATAAATATGCCAGTTATACTGATAACCCTAATTCATTTGAAAAATAGTTTTGAAGATCAGAAAATCAAGAATTGCTGAGTTGATTGCTTAGTAATAGCACGATGATTGCTATCTTTTCAGCATTCGATATATTCATAAATGTGCAAACCTGGAATATATGACAATCACAGCAATTGCTGAACAAATACCAATGATAGCAAATAAGGTAGGTACTATTGAATACCTGAAAGAAGTACGCACACGTTAGATATTTATTTGCTGGAAATGGAAAAAGTAATTAGAGCATAATGTCATACCAGGAAGACCATCTTATATATTTAAGATTAGATTGAGCCAAGTTAAAGCAACTTTTGCGATCATCTGTCGGCCACCAACCTTCACCACAATCTACACAGGTTGTATCATTTATCAGAAATTCATAATCTTCACATTTGCCGCAAGCCCAACAACAAATTTCATCCTAAAATCAATTACTTTTAAATATAGCGTTTTGATTTCGCGTTAAAATTACCATAATCATCCAATAATACAATGACATAACATTTTATCATCGACAAAGGCAAGCCTATCATCATCAAAAGGAGTGTGAAAAAGACAAGCGTTGCAACAATTAGTAGATAAACGATACAAACTAATCTTGATGAGCTGCTTACGATAACCGATTGGGCATGGCATACTGCATTGTGATATTGGTATTTCTCCGTATTCCCATAACATCTTTTCATCATCTATATCTAACTGCAAAATTGAAGATTTGCTCATCATAGTAATAGGAAAATTATTTGATATTCCTAATTTTCTTTTATAGCTAAGGGATGATTGAATATATTTATAACTGAAAATTTTTAACTTTACAAATTGTAAGTCTTGTTAGCGGATGATCCATAGCCTGGATTGTTTGTACTGGCTGGGAAGTACCGAACCATTTCCAAAATCTTTTGGAACATCTCAAGATTATGTTATATTGAAGTTAACATGAACCTCCCGTAGAAATTTTCAAGTCCTATTGTCCCTTACAATTTCTCGAATCACATAACATATACTTAAACGCAATGCATGCTGCCATCCATAATGTTATCATTTTCATAATCTTTTGCTTTTCAGTCCTAATAAACCGAGTCTTTGATACTAACCGAAAAAAAATCTTGAACTTGTTTCCTTTAAAAATTATCTAGATAAATTTAAAATAAGTAATCAATAGTTTACAAATTATTTTTATGCAAGAAAATTTGCGACAACAACATTGGAAAAAGCCCCATGACCTAAAACACTTCCTGGAATCTAAAAGATTTGTTGATGGCAATTTTGATTGCTTCACTCGTTTTTTTGACCACCTAATTTTGGCATAATTCTATTTTTATCAGAAAATATACAACAAGAACAAATAAAGCAAAATTATTAAGAAGTGTACGAACATGCTCTTCGGACCACCGTCCAACAACAACATAATCACTTCGACTAGAATCTTCGGACCTGAAGTAATTATGTAGCAGAAAAGAGAGTAACAAAGATAGAACTTTGTAAGCAATGTCTTAATTTCTGAATTTTGTAACCAATCTCAATTTTTTTTTCAAAATTTAAAATCTTTGATATCTTTACAAGATTTTACCTTCTGCGACCATTTTCTGGCTGATAATTTAAAATTGTATAATGCGCTGGTCCATCACCATCTGAGCTAAATCGAAATCTTTTGCCCGCTACATCTAAAATATTTAAAAATAATACGTGATTCGAAAAACATTTAAATCAAAAGTTCATGCGAAAAAGGATCATTTGCTTATTTCAATAGTATGATGCGAAGGTTAATGCAATATCATCGGAATCATTGAATCAAATTCCACAAACAGTAAATGACTATGGCTTTCCAGTATATTACCTTGGAATTTTACTTGAAGCAAGTAATTCTGGTAAAACTTTTCTCCATCAATATGTTTCATCGCATCGCAAATCCGTGGTACACTTGAATATCTTGATATCCATGAGGATGATACAGTATCGTTAGGACATACTTCCTCTTTCATTCCCTATCAGAGAGTATTTCAAAACCAGTCAAGAAAAAAAGTTGAATTTAAACTGAAAGTTTTAAGGTTCGATTGTAGTCTTATCAAAATTGCAGACATTTGATGGTAAATTCATTTCGTTCCGAATAGAATTCGATTATTTTGTTCACTTTAACATAATATCATAAAGGAGAACCTGCAATCCATAAGCAATAGCATGCACAGCATCAATAACGAACTGAACCTTATCGTCTGGATTAAAGTTTTTCATAGTTTGACGATAGTTTTCGCATCTAAGAAAATATCTCCGAAAAAAGAAAAAGTGATTTTGAAAGATGTAAGATGAAAGTTGAAGGAAAATATTTTTCGATATTGATAACTTCATTCCATACATAAAAACCTTACCGGTTTAATCTACTCTGTTCAGGTAAATCAAATTCACAGTTGAATTTGTGGCGCCATAGTTCTCTCAACCATTTATTCCGTTCGAATTTGTCATCACCCGGATTTAACGATAAAAAATACTATAAGAAAAGAGTTAGAACAGCTCGATAAATTATTGTTGCATTACGATAAAACAACCAATGCCCAGACACATTTTTTGTGAGTGATCTTTTGCAAACATTTTTCCGAAAAAAAAGTGAAAAAAAAAGCTGACCTTTTCAAATGAAGGAACACGATCGGAAGCTAACATCAAGACAATAGCACCCTTTGCTGCCAGCTTCCTTGGACCTGATGTGTATGCTTCATTGTTTCGGTCCCAACCTTCACTCGCAAGCCTTTAAGTTGACATCTGGCTAACATTCTTTTGAAATTTTAAGAGAAATATTTAACAAAATTCTCTCAGTGCTGTTTTTTGGTCTAAATGGTGAAAAGTTTATCATGCTTAACTTGATTCTTTAATTGACATTTAAAATTCTTCCCTAACAAGTAGTGTATTTGTAAAATAAATGAAATTCGGACATGGATTATTCATAAAATTCCCACTCTTTGTCTCAAACTGATACTTGATAATTTTTAAAATAAAAATTAACCAAATAATCTTTTTACGACGTGGTAACTGCTCCAAATGCATACGTTCAAATGTTTGCAACATCAGTTCCGGTATATACTCCGTGCCAACAAATAACACTACAGCACGTGCCCCAACAACTTTATCTGGTTGTAGTCTATAAAATGAAGGCATGTAAATTTATCTATATTATTGATCCATAAAGTTATTTTATTAGGAGTTCCTTTAGAAATTCTAGAAACGAATCACATAGTGATCCTTGAATATGTGCTTTACCACTGCAAAAAACTTATTCTAAGAATTTCGACAAAGTAAATGTATCAACACAAATGTTCAGTTGTGTTTTTATATATCCCATTACCATTACCATAAAGTTCAGAATAGTGAACTTCAAAATAATAAAAAACAAAATAATGAAAAGTTTTCATCAGTCATAATAAAGAGTCAGATGAATATTCAAAATTTAAATAGTTGCAAATTTTAATACTTAACTAAAATTATGGACATTCTGTGTTATTTCTATTGAGAAATATAAGGCGCAAATAGAATAGTGAAAGGTAAAGAATTCTTTGAAATTTCCTAGTTTGCTCCACTTTTTGGCGCTTATTAGCAGAAGAATTACTTTTTAACCAGATTATTAACAGATTCTTGTAATGCTTCTTTTTTGGTTGATATGCGCTCTTCGGTAGCAATACAGATATTCATCTTGCGTGCTTCTTTCTTGAAAGCTTCGGCACCAAGCTCACCATATTCTTCTGCTGAGTACACCAAGGATACATACGTCCAGTTGAAATGCAATGCAATATCAATCATTGCACGTGCTTGATAATTATCACTGGGCACCGTCCTCAAAAAAATTGATAGTTGATTGCTCAAATCTATTTGAGAAAATACAAATTAAGAGTTAAAATAAAATCACAAGAATAACATAATGAAAAGGCCTTACCTAGCAAAGTACTCGAAACGTGTTTTGTCACTGAGATCTGCATTGGTACTCGCTGGACTCACTTGAACTATCTTGAACAGTCTCAAAAGGTTAGCTATCTAAAAGATAAGAAAAGAAGATTTCCGGTTTACAACTAGTGACACGTGTATCTTTGAATTCCTCCTTCACCCCACTACACGGATCCCGAACGGAAATTTTCTTATAAAGTTAACGTCCCCAGTATATTCTTTTATGAACAAAAATTCTAGATTTCATCGAATTCTCGATTTTCAGGAAATTTAAGTGCTTGCGTTTATTTATACAGTTGATTTGTATTAGTTACCCGCACCATTCAGTAATCAGTCTTTAAACTATAAATAGTTAACTGAAATACATGCATGGGAAGAAATTATCTATCCCTATTTTAAAACGATATCGGCTCTACCTGAACAGTAACGGAGCTATAACTGCCACCAACAACTGCAGCAATATTTTTGCGTGGCATTTGTCGGCTCTCCGGAAAACTACCATCACGACAGTGATATTCAGATAAATCGACTGAGCCAATCATGTCACGGACAAAATCAAGACTCTGATTGAGAGCATAAGCTGGATTTGAGCATGAATCCAATATAAGAGCACCCTAAACGTAATTACATCGAAACCCGTTGTTGCAATCACAGCAAATTTTTCGATTAATATTACAAACTTAAGTAGAGACATTTCTGTAATGGTTAAGCCATATCCAGATAGAAATGTTATTTCATATGATATTAAAGAATTATTCTATTCGTTTAAGTGACATTAAATAATGTTTCAAATTCACAGCGGAACCTTTTATTTCTTCATTTTTTCTGTGAATTTCCAAAATTGGATTATGACACATCTTACTAACTCGAATTGTATAAATGAATAAGATGACTTCAGAATCCTGACAATCAAACACATATATACAGTTTGAACTATCGATTAAAGTCGAAACTTAGCAGAAGACATTCTCCGTCTTAATTTTCATCTCCCATTAAAATTTAAAGCAAATATTAATCGATTTCGAGAAGCTTAATTGAATAAAAGGAGAAAAAAAATAACAAACCAGTTTATAACCGTGCAAAAATTCACGCTGAGAATTGATAACATCCAATGCATATAACATCGCTTCCACTCTGTGTACACCTCTTAAAAAAACAATTTCATTTCAGAACGAGCGAACTTTATCAATTAAAAAAGAATTTCTTCATCGTTTCACTTGCTACTTTGTAGCATTCGTTTGTTATTTGCGTACAGAATACGTGATGTCCTAATATATTCTGATTTTCTCATCTCAAAAGCGAACTTTTCAAAAAATTCAGGAGAACAAACCGTGTCTCGGCAATATCACCACAAGGCTGATCCGGTGAATCACTTTTTGCATGAACTGGAAAAACCCCACCTATAATAATGTCACCAGGTACCCTAATCTGGCGCACAGTTGCTGGTTGCAAATATGTAGCATCCTCAAACATTTGCTGAAATGATGTGAACAATTGTCACAAAATTTCCTACTTCATCGATTTGCAACGTTTTTATTATTAATTTATCCTTATTATTTACATCAACTGCCATTTAACGATGGATGATATAGATTACTCTTAGAAACGAGCTTTCAAAAATTCTCAAAATGTTTTTGGTCCGAGCGGAGAGGTAACAGTTACTTCAATAGCTTTTTATCGTAATTTTTTTTTTATACTATTAGATGGAGGAAATGTAGATGGAGCAAAGCAAGAAACGATCTCGATATATTGTAAGTATTATCGTATATAAATTATTGTTTCACATATAAAAATGATCACAGTCAGTTGGAAATCATTCGTATTCGAAGTTACAAATTTGAAAAAATGTTGAAACCCCTACGTCGATTTGCAACACTGAAAAACTACTTATCATAAGTACAAAAACTACGAAAAAGGTGTGCCAAAACATTTAACCCTTGAATAACCTGCTTCATGTTGCCAAAAATTGAGAAATATGCAGTTTCCTAATTTTAGTTTGGTAGCAATTATCTTAAAGTTCATAATTTAAATAAAAGTTAATTTAAATTAGAAGCTTGCAAAGTGTTTAATGTCAAAGGGGAAGGAGAAAAAAGAAAAGGAGAGGAAAGAAGTGGTGTTTGTCTAACTAATGAAATAAATTTTAGTCTAACAAGAGCAATAAGAAAATCAGTGAAGTAAAAATGATTCATTTTGAAATCAAAATGTTGAATTTTTTCCTCAGTCATTGTATTAAGTTCAGAACTCAAAACTCTATCGTGAAAAAATGATCAGATGTAGTAATTAAAATAATAATCTGGGATTTTTATGGTATACCATCAGTGTTACAATATATCTTCACTAATAATTCAAGAATATTATATGATATCATTACATACTAATAATGCCTGCGAAAGTTTATTACTCTTTCTACCGCTCTCAACAAATAAGATTTTCAGCACAACAATTACAAAAAAATGGTGCTCGTATCAGCTAGTCAAAATTAAATAATTTCGATCTTATCTATAAATGTTGTGTCAATAAATGACTAAGGTTGAATTTGGAACTTCAATTTTTCATAACTAAGTATTGTTAACTGAGAAATAAATTATTTAGATCTTAGCAGTAGCTATAAGCTTCATGATTCATTTGAACAGGCTTAGAAAATATAATATTGTTTAGGTATAAATGTAGTAAACTTTTGAAACTATTAATAGTTGACTGTCTAGAGTGGATAACAGTTAAAGTAATAACTGTGATATGTTGAGTAAACTCTGGTTTACATAGGACAATGCTGAAAATTTTTGTCCAATTGTTAAATGATTGAGTTGGCAGATAACACATTATACACTGTCTCACGATATGTGATGCTAGAAATAATCTTAAGATTAAGCAGCAATGTTCGAATACATTTATCACGATGGTCATTGAAAAAAATTCATGGTAACTATTACACGATCATGCATAGTCAGTCCTTATTCGACAGGCCGAATTTATGTTGTTTCAATTGTATATTTCAGCAAGAAAAGATAAAGTATTGGTAACAGTGATAGTAAATAAATAGTATTTCATAGAAATAGAAAAGTATCGAATAAAAAATGCACTTCAGATTTAAGGCACCGTGATTTTCTTATAAATTGATTATTTTGAAGAATTCTTGCCGATCCGATCCCACGAAAATGAAAGATTTGAAAAACTTCAATTGTAAAGAAGGAAAATACCTTTTCGAATGTATTCATATTTGCTAAGATACGCATAGCCAAAGCCAGCAATGAAAACATGTTCGATGAAGTATCTGCAATTGAATAATAATTTATATTTAGAAATTCACATTTTTCAAAATAATAACGTTTCAGGCATTTACGAGCTTTAATCTTATTTCATTAATGATGACAAGTCTGAAGCTACTAATTAATACTTATTAGCAAACACAGCACTGTATTAAAGTGGACATAATTTAAATAAATCTTAATTACATCAAGCACAAGTTTTGTCAAAGAAATGCAAGTTTCCGTTCTATAATATACCCTCCAACCAAATTGATTTTGAAGGGAAAAGAAAAAAAGAGGGTAGTATAAAAGACAGCCACTCAATCTTTTTGATTTTTTTTCGCAGAAATTGTTAAATTTCTATTATTTTTGTCACGCAATTTAGTTTAGTTATTTTTGCAATTTCTGAAAAATTCCAATGTGGAATTTGATTGGGGAATTAAAGATTTATTTATATAGGAAAAATTAAAATCTAATTTGATAGCTAATTTAGCAACTAACTGAGAGATATAGGCTTTCGAGACATAGAAATTATAATTCTAACAATGTAAGCGTCATAGTTTAAAATCAGAGCATAAATTAATTTTAGCTTCAGTAAATCTATGAGAAAATAAAAATTTTTAAATTTTCACTCTTCCAATTAAAATATTCATATTATGATAAGGAGAAGTTTGATTTGTTACTAAAAATTTGTTGTCCTAAATAAATTGATAGGAGCAACATCCTTAAAAACTGTTAACAGTTAGTTTCGTTGTTGCAGTTCCAAAGTAACGTAATGTAGTAGAACTGAATTACGAATTTGAAAAAGAATGAATTTGAAGTGATTTACAACGCACGAATATTCTGACATATACGGAGCTTATAACACTAACTGCTTTATGGTTTCTTTTACCTATGCTGTCATTATGTCATCATTTTTGAAAATTTATATCTTATATATATATATATTTGTATATTATAACACTTATCGTACTCGTAAGTTGGCTCCGTTATTAAACTGTCCGATCTATTTGCTGGTCCATTGCTTGCTGAAATATCGATCCTTTCGTCTTGTTAAATATTCGATTCTTTCGTTGATCTCATTTCATCCAGTAAACCAATGATACTGTAAGCGGTAGATTCTCGCTTAAGTCGATCGGAATGAATGAATGAATTACTCTTCCTTGAATAAATTACAGAACTCGATTTTAATAAATAGATTACCTTTAAGGTCGTTCATCGTGAGCAGGCCAGCTTTAGAATACGAAGTAATTAATCTGAGACCGTTGCAACAGGATAGGAAATGAATGTCACTCAAGCAAGATCAAAGTTTATAGTAAATAGTAAATAGAATAAAACTTTAAAGAACGTATGGAAGCTGAAAGAGAAGATAATTTGGTTGGGACAACTCTAACAAATCATGAAGGATTTGCTATTGGTTTATATAATTGAATCATTCAACTGCTTTAAAAAAAATCCAAAAATATTGATAAACATCGGAATAAGATGCTATTCTATCTATTGTTTATCCATTTAATTTCAAATTAAAAATCATTTATTGCTACCTAAAAGTCTTTATGGTATTTTTATCAATTAGGAATTAATTAATTGTCTGGTTTCTCTAAACAAATGATGCATAAATTCAAATCACTAATCATGTAAACAATACGATATGAAATTTGAATTTTAAGAGCGGACGGTAGTATCATCAAAAAAGAAAAAAGCAAAATCGAATCTAATTTGTAAAAATTTAAAAAATAATTTTTAGTCAACGGTGGTGAAAAAGTGCTGAATACCATTTATTATGGGGACTTCATATTTTAGATTAGGAGAGCTTCTGAAGCTAATTACAGCGCATTAAACATTGTAACAGCTTTGCAGACTGCAGTGCATTTCACTTTCTTTTGAGTTACAGTACCGAGTACTAAGTGTTCTGTTAAACCAACTTGGATGATCCGATATAACAGTTGAATCAATTGTGAAAACAGGAGTTAATATAACAGAATATATTGTAGAAAGAGCTTATTAGGTATGGTTGCTCTGAGGCTTAACTTCCTTCAATTATTATTTGTTGCTGAAACCTTTTGCACACAGGTTCACAAGTAGTAAGATGTAAAACATTTGAATAGCACAACAAATGGACTTTTTTCTAAACTCTTTCATTCTCCTACCACGTTGAAAAAATAAAAAATAATTTTTGGTGTAGTGAGTTAAAGCATAAAGGAGTATTCTATACTCTTCCTATTAGAATGAACAAAAGTCATGAAAACCAAAACAAAGACAAGAATTCCTGCACGTTGTTTTCAGTAATTAGGAATCTTAAAGCTTTTCTGCATATCCATTTTTCAAGTTAAACAGTTGAAAAAGAAGAACTCTTTTTAAAAGTGTTGACTTTCCACATATTTTGGAGGAAGGTCATACATCGATATTTTTTTTGAAAAATGTTAAGTATTAATAAAAAGGTGAGACGAAAATTTTTCGTGCTCTGTAATCATCTGGTGCAATATGAAAGTAACGTGTTGGTAATTGCTCCAGACCTTACGTCGTCAGTCATTACTTCATATACTTCTACATAACAAGTTTTCGGTAGATATCTCAACAACACAAATAAATAATTCTGAAGCAGACCAAACTCCAAATGTTAATCATTTAGATACTCGCATCATTAAATTAAGGACTGCAATCAAATTCAAAGTTTCAGCAAAATCGTGAAAAATCTGTTTTCAAGGAAAATGACATGTTTAAACTGGTATGAAACCAAATTTTGGTCTTGTTTTTGGCATAATCAGAGTTTGTGCTTTTTATAAATTCAATTTTAATTCTTGAGCGTATTTTTTTATTCAAATTTCATTGCGTCAGAACTTCATAAACTCAAAAATGAATTTGTACCAGTCAATAATTTTCCAAGTCGGAAAAAATGTATTCCAAAAAGCCGCACTTATTTGTAATCCGCACATTCTAACGAAGTGTCCGCTAGAAGGACTATTGCTGTCAAATGCAAAAATTGGGAAAAAAGAAATTGTTTAGAATTATGCCTCAAAAAATAAAAATAAAGAAGACATATCACGTCGTCCAATACAAACAAATTCCGAAATTTCTTCCTTCAAACACAAAATCACGCTTTAATTATCTACGTTCTGATTATATTGCAAAACATAAAGCAACAAGAACCATTTAAGAAATTCATCTTTTTGTCGCAATTTGGTTGAGGCATCGTCTTGAACATAAAATACAGACTGCCTCGTGTTTTTTTATATCTGTTTGTTTTCATAATTTATCAGTCATCTGATATATTTGAGCACTCTCCAAATTCTATGTAGTTCCAAATTTCAGTATGTCAGCTGAAACGATTATTTTCAGAAATTAATAGCAAGATTTAGTAGTTTTTACAATTTTGGAACTTTATAAGCAGCAGTCTGTGGCAGTCCTGAAACTTTATGGGAATTATCACGTTAAAATCCCGAAATCTTAAATATTTTATCCATTCTTTGATCTCTAGATTAAGAACAAAACAAGATTTGTTCATTTTTGCAAAAACTTGACTGTGCTTCGATATGATAGAAAACAAAAAGTTATTGAAATTTTAAATACCTGATTTGACATACTTTAAAAATTTGGCGAGTATATAACGAGAAAGGATTTTTCGAGTAAACATAAAATAGCAAAAAAAACTGCAATTTAACTATATGGGCATGAAAGCTAGTTAGCTTAAGATTTGCTTAAAAATAGCAGATATTAGGAAGAAAGAGATTGTAAGGGATGGGTAAAATGGGTAACATTTTTGTTTATTACAACATTTTTGTTAATAATACTCTTCCTAGATAAAGGAACAGATCCAATATAGTTCTGCATATTCTGCGAAATTGCACACAGAAGTGAATTTTTGGTAGGAATTAAAAAGATTTGTTAATTAATTTCACAAAAAGCCAATCCGTGGAAAAGGTGAAACTGAATCAGAAGAAACTGAAAGTTTACGTAAATAACAGATTACACATCATTTTCAATATTTATACAGAATTTTAAGCATTAAAATGTAGTTTTACTTCATTTTGCATTTTCAAACAACAAAAACAAAAGAAAAGAAAGGAAGGATAGGTAAACTTGAATTCAAAATATATTATTGTTCATTCAATGATTCTCTAATCCATTTCTCTGTCTATCAATCCATAATAGCAATAAAGTGACATCTTCTGAAAATTGTTTTTGGAAGAATGAAAGTGACGACACATTAAATGTACACGTCTTTATGAAATTTTAAACGAAAGTTCTATTATACAAATATTAGCAGAGATAATTAATTCACCGAAAATGCGAATTTTTCAATTCTTCAGAGAGGCATGGACGCCTGATCATTCGGGTTACTCGTTAAATATAAGAGCATAACATAAAAGTGCACATATGCATATACACATACACGCACATACACACATATACACACAAACACACTCAGGAAGACACAAGCGGACGTAGTTGCAAATTGTGTTAATACAAAGTTATTTCCAGTTTTCTGACAGGAGCATCACTTTTTGGAATTCCTTTTTTTTGCTATGCCTAAGTCAGATTTTCCTCTAATTTACGCAGTATTATGACCTGTTCGCTTGAATGGTTCAGGTTTGATAAGGTCAGGGATTTCTCTTCTGCCCTGGCGATAGTCTATTATGCAATTCGCAGTTGTTTGCATTGACACAAAAGTGTTTTTTGAAAGTTTGTCGGAGCATATCAAAACTTCATCATTGGTTTAATCAATTCGTCTAGCCTAGTTCCTGTTCTCTCATACAATTTTAGTTATCTTCGTAAATAGAAATGAATAAGATAATGTTTTACTTGTTATTTTTACAAATTTATGGGCAGAACAGATTGTTACCATAAACTTCAATATTTGGAAAGGAAATTTTTTGATTAGCATTAAAGAAGATAGTAATAGGAACAAATAAATTTCACTTCTTTTCTATTCAAAATCAGAACTATGATTGGTCAGCAAATACTCCGACAAAGTGTTTAGAAAGCGCTAGAAGGAATTCGTTTCAAACTTG